TATAATGTACTTTAAAATGATTAGCTGCATGTAGAAATTCTTATTTAAAATGATGTGATTATTGTTATATTTTCCAGAGTTTCTTTTTGCCAACATTATCGATATTTTTAAAGTAGATTTTTAATTTAATGGAGAAGAAGTACGCTCATTTAATTAATATATGTGGTAACATTATGTGCAATACTGAAGCACAATTTATCAAATTCATCGCAATGCGATTTTTGTTTTGCTCAAGTCACAAGAGTAAAAGAGTTTCGAATAAAAATAAAATATTAGAGTTTTAGGGAAAAAACTCATTATCATTGTTTTACTCCTGCTTCTCATTAATAAAAGTACTTAAGCGCTCCGACCTGAAGAAACCATATTTCGAGGTCGGATTTCCAAAATGGAGGAATTTGTACACTTAACCTGGCAATTGTTAATACCTCCAAAGCTATTTCAGTATTCTCATTTGTAGGCATTTAGTCGCAATCAGTCAATCACGAATGCGGTGTCCAATCAATGATTCGTTGATCAAGGAGACAAATGTATTAATGGTATTCCATAAAGACGAAACTTCTTTAAATAATTTAATTCACAATAGAATAGGGGTAAAAGAAAAGATAACGAGTTTTTTAAAGCAAACTTTAATGTTTTATATTTATTCGAATCTCTTTTCCACTTAATTGGGATTCCACGTAAGAGAAGATTTTAAATTTATATCCATAATTAAATAGAATTCTGTTTATCAATATATCAGAGTAAGCTACTTAAAAATAGTACATAATGCTGTGAAAGATAAAGACCAAATTCTCTTGTATTATCTTCGTTGTCTTATGGTGACTATTCATCATCAGATTCACGATTTCATTTCTTTCTTTCAATTTTATATAGAGGTATTCAGTAATATAAATAATTACGACTGATGACAAAGCATCGTCATCAGTCGATGGTCGATCAGAAATAGGTATTAACCAGATGCAATTCACAGAGTGAAAAATATATTATTGATACACTGATTGCCGACAGTTTAGTAGCTAGTTACCGCGCAACGTCATGTGAATGACAGGTATCAATTAACACATAAGAAAAAATTACAAAATTCTGTGGGAATAAATAGATTATAAAAATTTAGGCACTTTATCCAAAGTTAAGATAAGTGACTAAATCTGCTCGTAGAAGATAGTATACATGTGCTTGCTGATAAAAATGTTATTTAATTACTTTACTAACCTTCGGAACTGAATCCTTCAAGAATGAAAACTGTATTTATTGTTCTATTAATAGGGCGAGGGATTACTTAATTAATTAACTGGCTCTGTGGCTTTTTTTATGCTCATTTATCACAAATTTCTTCATTGCAACAAGAAACGAGGAAATCAAATCTTTTAACTCTTTTACATTTTTAGCAGTTTAGTTCAACATCTTTAAATATGAAATTCAGGGAATTTTCACGAAAAGATACATTTTTCGATTGAATCCTCGCCTGAGGCTTATGGCTTAAAAATATAAGCTCGTTTCATCATCTTGGAATATTAATTTAATTTTCTCCCGAACTCCTGCTTCGTTTGATAAGGTGCGTTCTTTTATAATCATTTTTTACTTCCCTAGGAAATTTTCGCACTATTCGTGTTAAAATTCTTTCGTTCTATTATGACTCTTCCAGTAGCATGAAACACACCGATACATATTGCAGAATACTACATGCTTATTTGCTTTCAGAAAAGTTCCAATGGAGATGAATTACAAATTCTATTTCCTATATAAAGTTTCGTTTAATATGATTTAGTAGAATGATAGATCAAAAGCTCTGCCATTTAAGTTTCCCTTCTTCTGGAAGAACTTCAAGAATCCTAGACTCTGAGAGTGCTTCAATAATAGAATTTACTGATTATCTTTGCGCCACTACTGTTAACGACATTTTGAAAAACGAAAATGATTTGCAATAAAAATAAATATAGCTTTGGCTAAAATAAAATTATCCTGAGGGAATCCAAAATACAAGAGCTTTAAAAATTGCACTAATGGTATAAAAAAGGGTGGCCAAATTGTTTGCTATTCAGAAAAATCTTTCATGTATCGAATCTGCCCGCGAACCTTTTAAACTTTCCGGAAACTCATTCCATTCAAGACTTTTAGGATAATAAGTAACACAGAATAGAATGAAATATAAAATATTATTTTTTAAAATAATATATTATATATAAAAATAATATTTTATATCTGTAAACTTCATATTTTCAAAAATATAAAGATGCTTCAAATTAAATAATCTTGGGCATATAGCCAGTTTGCGATATTATGGCATTAATTACAATGAAAAGTTTTGTAGTTAAATGAATTTTTTGTATGATTACTAGATTATGATGCTAATGTAATAAACCTCCTTTAATAAATATTTCAACACACGTTTAAATTTCGAAAACTAATAAGTTACTTTTATGGAAATTCTTTGGGAATACTAAATGCAAAAATTCTGATGGGGACACCTTGTATGGCCTATTAGATTATACATACATTTTTTTCACTTCATTTAAACTTATTTCTTTGAGTAATTCTAACTTAATTAGCCAAGCTCTCTCAAGCAAGTTGAAAATGACATCAAAAATTGACATAAACTTTCTTACAAATTTTTTTCATAACGAGTATAAAATTTTGCTAGATATAAATATAGAAACCGGAAAACCGTATTAAAAATTAGATTTTGTTATTTACAAAAAACTTTAAAAAATGACATTGCCAAATCACGAATATTTTCTCCATTAAAAATACTTCTGTATTTTGAAATATATGACTACGATAACAGTTGTTAAATAAAGGCCAGGTAAGGGCTTTTAAGCCTGGTAAAGAAGGTAAGTGTGTATATATAATATATATATGTATACAGATATATATATATATATATATATCTGTATACATATATATGTCTAGTTGTAACGAAAGTTTACCTCCAGAAAACGTTCTTAATAAAGAACAAAATACATGAAAAAAGTACTTTTACTGTGGATAGTAATCATTACCCTAATCTATGATTTTCTGTCAACCGTTTGGTAGTTTTTCAAAGGCTTCGGCCCAGAAACTAGGCAGCCGCGACTTCAAAATCAGGTCAACCTCATTTCGGAGGTCCTGTGCAGAATGAAAGATAGCAACAGCAAGATGTAGCTGGAAGTGTGAAAAAAGGCAGAAATCCGAAGGAGCGATTTCGGGGCTATTTGGTGGGTGTGGCAAAAGATCCCACTCAAGTCCAATAGAAATGCAGACACATGTGGCGGTCAATGCAGACACATGTGATCTCGCATTATCTTGATGAAATAGTACCTTTTTGCGCTGGAACTAGGTTCAACTTTTCCCTTGATAACAACGTAAACACGGACTAGCATTTGCACATCTTAGTGTCGAGGGTTTTTACCTCTTTCCACGTACTCTTTGTGGATAGTATCACGGCAGTTCCACGAGATGCAAAGCATGATATTTTTGATAGTTAAACTGCCCTTTGAGACGCTGCCGATGGGCTCACAAGGCGCAGAAAACCGCCCTTTTCGGCCTGTGTTGTTGAGGTAAATCCACTTTCCATCACAAATGACGATCCGTCCCAGAATTTTGTCCTGCGTTAATATTCGAGCAAATTAGTTCAGCTCGAACACGTCTGCCCTTATTTGCTCTTGCAGCATCCAGCGATTGAGCTTGTCAAGTGTATGCGATGCATAGCGCGATTAATGGACATGGCACAAACTTCTAATTCCTTAGCAAGCTCTCGAGTAGTTGCATTATTATCTTCTTCTACCCGTTTTGGCAGGCGGGCCTCATTAACATCAGTAAGCCGGCAAGAGCGCTGTGCTTCTTGAACTTTCGGTACAAACCTTCTTAGTGTAATATGTTACAATATTGGTATCTAAAGCTGTACCCATGATTTTGTGATATACTGTAGCTGATGTTTTGCAATAGAACTGGAAGTAAATGATGGTTGTAATCTGGTAGCGTGATAGTTCCATTTCGGACAGCTTGTACTTAATGATAACGATACTGTTTTACAAATTTCATTTCACAACACAGTTTATTAAAGCAAGTTTCTTCCTTTCAAATGCAAATATCGTTAAACAAAATCTGATTAAATACGCCAACGCGAAATGTTTACGCAGACGATATTTTCGGTGACGGGTAATTTTCGTTAAAACCTTTATATACATACACTTTTGGTACTTACTATTGCAGTAAAAAAGGGAAATGCAACTAGATGTGATAGCAGTCCCATATACACAATTTTAAGGTTTTGAGGCTAACCGTTTTTGAGTTGAAAAAATCCAATTTACAATGCATTTTGGGAAAAACATTCTTTATTCTATCCGTAAATGCAGAAGTCACGAAAAAAATAGTCAAAATGGATTCAGTACTGTCGAAATGGATACTTCCGTTCAAATATGATACTCAAAAGTTTTCGCAATTACAATACTTCCTTTACCTTGTATCGGGAAGTGAAAATCTATAAGGTAAAGACGAAAGAATCTCAAAATCAAGATTAAATATCATTCAATGTCATTTAAGGGAACAAAATCAATTTAGAATTATTCCAATTTATTTATTATTTCAATGCAAACTCAAAATGACTTCAAAACTCCCAATTTATGAAATTAAATATCGCGATTAATTTTTGTCGTTCGGCAGTCAAACATTTTGTGTTTTATAATAAACATACATATATAAATTTTACATATAAAAAGTTTATAAGTTTATACATATAACTTTACATATAAAAAGTTTGATATCTTAATTTTTATAAAATAGATTTCTTTAAATTCAAAAATACAGAAGCTTGAATATTTGTATTATTTAAAATATTTTCTACGATCAATGGTTACGAAAATAAAGGCTCGCTACAGACATTCCCGGGCTTTATTTTTGGCGGCTACGTTTATTTTCGCCTATTTATTATATTTTATTTAAATACATGAAAATCATTATATTAATGGTAAAAATATCAGGAATATCTGTAAGAGGCCTTTATATTAGTTTTAATCACTTACCTCTAAACAATGTACTGTTATATTTTGAGAGATGAATTGCGAATATCACGGTTGTAGAATAATGACAATTCGCAACGGCAATTCCCACTTTCCAGGCCGCATGGTTAATAAACGAGAGGATAATTCAGCGTCGGATTTTATATGGCATCCTCACTACTAGGAATGTTTAACACATTATTTGGCATATGCCTGGTGACTGGACGTTTCATTAGGTAAACGATATGCTGAAAGGCCTTTGCACATTTGCACGCTCTGACAACAGGATGCAGATAATTATCTCTACATCTGTGCTCACCAATTCAATCGCTTTTTTAAAACCGTGCATAATTCATATAACATTAAAAAATTTATCACTTTAATTTTTAAAAGTTGTTTTTTTTTCAGTTATCGAAATTCTGGCAGCGCATTTTCTATTCGTACTCATAAAATGAAAGGTATGACTCTCGAGCATGAGTTATTCCGATGGTATGCGTGTTCTGTAAAAGGCACTTTTGCCGCTAGAAACATCTATAATACTTCCATTTTTTTACATCACGTTGCATTACGCTATCGCAAGATTTATAATCCACACGGGTTTGGAAATCTCTAGTTCTGATAACTATAGCTTAATTTCTTTGCAAAGGACCTTTAAATTGTCTTTCTTGTCAAACTGTAAATTTTGGAGCTGCTGCTTTTCTATGACATATGTAATTTTTTATTTAGTTTTCTAATGATAATAATGTATTGCTCATAACAAGTTAAATGGCTTAGAAAAAAATATACTTCTTAATAATATTATTAACTTCAATACAGTTAGTTAGTATAAGATACGACTTTAATACCACATATCATATACACCTACTGCAGAATTTTATTACCATTTGTTTAGTATGGAATGTTTTCAAGATGTATCGTTTTTTGTAATTTGTAGACATATAACAATTTTTATGAATATTTGCAACCTTAGTACAACTAAGTAAAGACGTATCTAGCAATATATATTATGCACGATTCTGCAGATTGACAAATTGAGGGACGCTTGGCAATACAGTGTTTGAATTATTTTCCACTCCGTGTTCTGTGGCACACTTTTTCCGAGTTTCTGATAGCTTGGTAGGTGTTTCTCTGTTAGCACAAATTAATGCAATTTAAAAAAAAAAAAAAAAAAAAAGGCTACACTATATTCTCCTTTTGGGGGGGGAAAGGGGCAGAGGGCAGATTTCTGAGGAAATTTAAAAAAAACCAAAAATCAAATTTTTTTTAAAAACTGTGAACAGCTTCCTGTGATAATATTCAGTTCCTAAAATAATAAGCCTAAAATAACATAATAATGTGAGAATAAAAAATAATGGCTCATCTGCTGCAAACAAAGAATCACAATTGCCTTAACAATTCTCAGGAGCCAAAATCATTAAAAATCCAGTTACATTCTATTTTAGTTACAATTTAGTAGCTCACTGTTTTGCGGATGCGCTACTTTTCAACTGAATGTTCATATTTTAACAGGCTTCGACTGAAGTATTTTAACAGCTGTGAGTTGCCTCTTGACTTTAATCAAGTTTAATCAGGAAAGAGGCCAATTCAAATTAATTTTAGCGTATAAATCGGTTATATTTTATTATCTAATTCGTTCTGAATAGTATATTGGTATTTTAATACTGGTGTATCTTAATGCATTTAATTTTTTATAATTATATCCCGTGTTTTAAACTGGAAATCATTATCTACGTTTCATGCACTTGTTCGTCTCAGCATTTCATCATTGCATTATTTCATTTCTATTTATAAGACCATTTTTGTTTTAAACATAAGTTTGACGCATGTATGTATCTTTCTTTCTTACGTGTGGCAGGAGATAGCGCTTTAGCTTTTGTGCCTCAAAATAAACCATTTTGTAGACATTTAGTGGAGTTAACAAATTTAAATTATTAATATGTAAATATAATGCAATAAGTTAAAAAAATATAGTGTAGCATTTTTATTTGAGACACGTTAATTTATTAATTAAATAAATTATTTAGAATTTGATTTATATATTGCAAATATATTTATTTTGCTTTTTGTGTTAGTTTTAATTTAAATTATTTTATATCGTGGGATCTGTGTTGTTAAGAGAATAAAATAAGTTTTGCAAGAAAGATATATCATCCCAAAATTATTTGATTTTTAAACACGATAGAAAAGCGCATATCGTAATATTTCGTAACTAACTGAATTTTCGCAATGTGAAGCAATGCTATAAATTACACGCTTTCTAATTAATCTTTAAAATTCAAGTTTCAGCTCAAATTATTGAATAAAGCCTAATTAGCCTAATTTATTGAATAAAAGGATCTGCTTTACTTGAACTTTGGTATTATGTTCTCAAAACTCCTGAAGATGATGAAATTTTGAATTCAGTTTGCGATAAAATTACCATCAAATTTCTAAACTGAGAAACGAAGCTATTTAATATTTATCAAGTCATAAGCTTAAAGAATTTTGTTGTGGAATAAAAGACACTTATTGAATATGTTAGTATTTAAATAGAAGGATTTTTTTAATGAATCGTGTTGCTTATCTTGGCTCAGAAGTAAACTCTGGCAATAATATTGATTTCGAAAATTACAAAACGTATCATTAATGCCAAGAGAAATAAATAAACTTAAAAAATTAAATAATAAGTAGGATCTGTTCAAGCAAAAATTACTTAAAAGGGATGAAACTACTTTTTCACACTTTTTTATAACCTATACTTCTCATGGCTATGAAAGTGGAATAAACTTTTACCTATTTCTGAAAGGAAAGTTATCAGAAAAATCTTTGTTGTAAACATTAAAGCTTTCTGGTGACGAATATAACAATAAATTACGTAAATTATACGGAGAAAGCGATATTGCCGACTAATTAAAAATTAACCACATAAAATTTCCTGGTGAAATTTGCTAGATAATTTTTTCTCTTTTAACATTAAAAAAAACTGATGGAAAAATGAGTTAGATGAAGGACCAGGCTTTGAAACTTTGCATTGCATGGATAGTGACTTTAAAGCTATTAAAGTCTGTAAGATTTCTAACTGCCTTGTCTATGCTTAATTTCGTAGAAGCCTAGTTGAAACTTATTGATTAATTCAAGTGCGTAAATGAAAAAGTACAGAGAAGGGTTAAACTCACCCTTTATTACCTCAAAATAAAAATACAGAAGGCCCCTTTCTCAGGCTTACAGCAAAGCCTCCACTCAGGCTTTAACTTAAGATGAGAAAATAAGAAACGAATCTAATGCTAAAATAAACTGAACTTAGCGGAGGTTGTACAAAACTGACCAACGTAATTGGGCCTTAATTAAATTATCCGGAGAATATTAGCAGGCATGTATAATACGGCCGAGCGTAGTAAAATTAGCGTTAAACAACGAAGTAACATGACGGAAAACGCTCGCTACTGACTCCTAAGCTCTTCTGCTAAATCCTGCTCTTCTGCTATTCCTTTCTATTCTTCCTTTAAATACTCTATCTCCTCCATTTACATGCAATGCGATACTAAAAACTTATTCTGGTAGGGAATAGTAGGTGAGAAACGAGAGCAAATAGTAAAGCATGTTTAAAAATTAAAATAAATTTTAGAAACTTAAAATAACCCCTACAAGTTATTAATTTTTTCCCAATGGCCGGCATTAGCCTTTATTAAGGTCGGAAGTGGTGGTGACTTTATTATGGAGGCACCTAACAGGTGGACCAGCTTTGCCTCCTATGAAGGGACAGATAATTTACATCCGTGCCTTCTTCGGGATTCGAACCCGCGCCCATCGGTAAGGCATTCAGAGTTATTAACCACTTTTCTTCCTGGGCGGCAAGTTATTAAAATTATAATTAAAATAATTAGGCGAGATGAAGGGAGAAGAGTAAGAATGTTCTGTAGATACCTTTAAATCGGTTGCAACGAGCGCACCGATTCCGGGTGAGAGTTTTACGGATAACTGAATATTGATTTCTATAATTTTATGCTTTGTGATGCCATCTACAGAAATGCGAAGTCAATTGGTAGTGTTTTCTCTCTGTCGGTAATAATTAAATAAATAATATCGAAAATCGTACAGATGATTTTAAATTATTATTATTATTAATGATTTTACGTTTTGGGAAAACAAAATTAAACGACATTTTAAAATTTTCATAATTATTATCGCAAAAAGATACGAATTTCTTAGTATGATGGTACATAACTTTCGAATATCTGCCTGTTTACAAGATTGTCGCCGTACTTTTAAAAATTTGCTGTGTATACAATAAAGTTTATAATATCATGAATGGACATAGATGAACATTTCTCGAGAAAGTTTATGAAAGCCTGCAATTCTTTGTCAGCTTCCTTCCACTTTCTTGATTTGCATGTCGTCTATTTAAGATATTCATGAAGTCAACGAAAATTAAAATAAGTAAATAATTTCTTTAAATTTTAAAGAGAATATTGAACTCTGTTCGTTACTTTTCTAAAAACAGTATAATATTTCAAATACGAGGTGACAGAAATATCTATAATAGGGTATGCTTGATAATAAGGTTATAACTTCTTGATACTCTAAGATCTCAAAGAATAAAGTAGACAGACGGTAGAGATAAACAATATTGCGACAGTAACAGCTCATCATGGGTTTGTCTACATGTTGTTTTCTTGTGCAATTTTCGTAATGCTTTTTTGCAAGGTGTTTGATTTGGATTAATCAAATTGTAGCCGTTCTTCTATAAGCACAGATGCTGGCTATCTCTAAAAATATTTACTAACACAGCACAGAAGTTACGAAGAAAATATGTATCAAAACAGAACGCACACCAAAACGGAACACCTAACATTTAGAATTTATATTCGATTCGCTGAGACATAACATCGGACAACCGTAGCTGGAGGTCGACTGACTGTAAGTTTTTCTCGTTGCTACTAGATGGCGTTCGATAAAATAGTTTCGGTTAAATCCACTTAGTCCTGTTATTTCACAAGGTGTCTTAAGTTTCTGCTACCTAACAGCATCATTAAGTTAATTATTTCTTACCTGAAAAGAAGAACCTTCCACGTTAGATGTGGAAATTTAATTTCATAATAAAAGTACAATGGTATACCACAGAGGTCAAATTTAGGGCCAAAACCTTTCAATATCTACATTAACGATTTACCTAACCCGCTATATTCTAAAATACTTAAATATGCAGACGATACCGTCATACT